GTGGATTTGGCCAGCAGCTGGACTTCATTTTTTAGCAGCCCCTGCCTGTGTGGCTGGGGCTGGTTACCATGAAGACCCCAGCAGCAGCCGTGCTGTGACAGCGAGAGGTTGGGGTTGCCACGGAGACCAGACCAAGCAATACACAGGGTGCACAGGAGGGTGCAGAGCTGTTCCAGGGCTGGGCTGGGATCTTGCAGTGGTGATGGCATGGTTCGGAACTGGGGCAGAGCTGCAATCCACTGCCAGCATGCCCCTGCCAGGGGGGTTTAGGGGGGCTATAGCCACCCCAAAATTCCCCATAGCCACTCCTCCCAGGAGTGCCGCCACTGCTGCCTGCCCTGCATAGGTGGTGGTAACTGAGCCTGCTTTGCTCGTGCCTGCAGCATAGCCCCCCCTCCCACCAGAAAGAGGCTGGCACTGGTGCTGCTGGGGCTGGTCTATATGGAAACCCTGGCCCTGTGTTATCACAGCAGGGCTGCTAATGGGGTCCCCATGGAAATGGCCCTAGCCACAGGCTGCCCTCCCCAGCACCTTCAATCCTTGCTCACTGCCCTTCCACCACCACTTGTGGCTGCCAGCTTTGTCTGTTCCAGGGGAGCAGGCAGAGAAGGGTTAACACTTCTGCCCAGCCACCACCACTGCTGCTGCTCTTTGGATGAGGTTAGCCTGAGAAGAGCAGCATCCTGGCAGTTTTAGCAGTGGTCAGGCAGGCAGGTTAATGCTTTCCTGCCTGCTCCTCCAGGGCAGACATGGGCAGCCACAAGAAAGAGTGGGGGTGGAGTTCCCAGAAACAGGGCGAATCTGGAAGGGTGCAGGGGAGAACTGGGAGGCAGGGGAGAAGCCTGGAACAGGCAGGCAGGTGGGATTCTTACCTTTCAGTCCTCGAGGTCCCTGCTGACCTGAATTTGTGACCTTCCAAACTCAAGCTAGCACTAACGTCGATCCACATTTGAGCAGCAAACTGTAATATGTAACAAGGCCCTCAGTGTCAGTGTAAGACTTGCTGCAAAGGGTTCTTAGCTCTCTTGTGGACTCTTTGATAAATACCAAAGAAAAAGAGACTGTCACTTGCTCCCAAATTGTCAGCCACCAAATGCTTAGAGGACTTGCATGGGATACTGAGGTACCAGCCCTTGGGGCATATCATACAGAATAGGGACTTGAAACTAGGTAGGGGAGGATCTCTTATGTTTATTCTGCTTTTTTATGAAAATCTTAGAAAAGTCTTGGGTTATCTAAAAAGAAAGTTTGTGTCCAGGAATCCAGGGCGTGAATTTAATGTAATTAGCTACTCCACACTACCTTCCCCTATGGACACCTTTAAAACGCACTGAGAGTGAATTCTGCAGGCACAGGAGTGCATTTAGTAATTCTTCAGAGTGTACTCAGGAGATATTGGTGCAGAGTAGCTAACCCTCTATAAATTCACATCATCATTTTCTGAACGCTTACTTCTGAGTGTAGACAGTTCTTCAGTCTCATCCTGCTGTGGAACAGGAAAACTTTTGAGAGCTGGAAAAAAAAACATTTCCTGTCCCACTCCAGTTACCAAACAAATCAGCTAGGGACTTTGGACTGGATTCACACTGGTTTTATACTGGTGTGATTCTATTTACATCACTGGAGTTCCTGGTATTGGAATGACTGTGGGAAGGACCTTCCAGTCATTTATGGGTAAAGTCTGAACTCTGTGCATGTTATTCTAACAGCAGATCTTCTCTATGACTCCTTGACAGATAGCACTTTCAAGCTCACGACAGAATGCATTAGGAAGTGCCTGCTTACATAGTCTGATTGACTTCTGGTATCCCCTTTGAGCCTGATCTCATTCCCATCATAAGATCTTACATAGATTTTGAGCTTGGTGAGTCAGGGGTTGCCTTCTTTATTATGTCAGTGTACAATGCCTACTAGAGTAGGGCCAGAACCAATGGGGCTCTTTGTTTGCTGCTACTGCAGTACCTATAGGACTGCTACCACTGCTTCAGTTCCAGAGCAAAACTCTCTATATCTCTTTTTCATCACCTTCCAAAGTGATATGTGACTAGGTGAGTTGATCGTGGAAGAGGCTATATATGCATGTTTTAATAGTGCACAATGCATAGGGAAGGTAGTCCGCTGCATCTGACTCAGTAGGCATGTCTATACATGTGCTTTAATGTGCAGTAGACTATTTTATTGAATATTAAACCATCACATGAAAAAGCGACAGTATGCTAATGTGTGTTAAAATAGTCTACTGCACATTAAGCATCCCAAAAAACCATGATGTACCTTGCATCAAATGTACTAAATTTAATGCACATTAGCAAAGACCCATTAATGCACGCATAGATGCTCCCAGTAAGTGGCAAAATGCAGTGCTGTTTTAGCTGGATTATGTCTAGGGAAATAGGTCAATACCTTAATGTCAAACATTGTTTTCAAAGATCTACTGAAACTTGGTGTAGCAGGGCACTAAGATGTGCCTTCTACTTAAGGCTGAAGAAGCCTGGCCAGGGCCAAGCAGAGCTCCCCAGCTCCAGGTTGCCAGGGTAACAGCCTAAGGAAGTAATTGGCCACACCTGCTGATGTTATCTAACCCGCAGGAGGCAGGGTTCTGGGATATATAAGACCAGGCTGTAGCTAGCAGATGCACTCTCTCTGGCATCTGACAGGGAAGGAACTTCTGCCTGCTGAAGCTACATGAGACCTGGTGCTGCCTGCTTAACTCTGCCACTACTGCCTGCTCTGCTATCTAGATGCTACATGACTACAGGGAGTTTCCCAGGTACCTAGAACAGGGGGACATTACTCTGAGTGGAAGTTTGTTCCCTTAAATGGGGCATAGCACTGTTGTTATTTTTAGTATTTAAGTTATAGCTTAGGGGCTTGTGTTTGTTCTCATGTTTACCCTGGAGGATTGGGATGAAGCTGGAAGGGGACTTTTGGAGGCCTGATTAGTGCCTGGGGAAAGAGGGCATATGACTTGGTAGAGCCCAGTGTCAGGCACAGTGAGCCCAGAGCATCGGAGAGGTGCAGCTATGGGGGTGCAAAACCAGTCGCCCGGGAGAGAGGCACAGAGTCAGGCACCTGAGAGAGAGGCACAGAAAGCCAGTCACTAGAGAACTTGGTGCTTGCACATTGCAGAGAGACAGGAGCCAGAGTGTTCGATGCCAGGGGCATATAGAGTCGATGATCATAGTAACACCTGCAAGTCATGGAACATGTAGGGGTGGTCGGAGCATGTATACACCGCCCTGTATAACTGGGTGCACAAAGGGCAGCCTTCCGCCTAATGAACAACTTAATTATTTACTAACAAAGCCCCCCTCAGGTCCCAGGGGAGGCGCACCTAGGCCAAGGGTTAGTGAGGAACTAGTTAGGGAACTTCTGGAGGGACTGGATGTATCCAAATCAGCCAGTCCAGATGATCTCCACCCTAGAGTACTAAAGGAATTGGCTGAGGTCATTGCAGGACCCCTGGCACGGCTTTATGAGAACTCATGGTGCTCTGGTGTGGTGCCAGAGGACTGGAAGAGGGCCAATGTGGTTCCCAT